TTAGTGAGGGTCATTCAATGCTTCCCTTAATGTGGCTAATTTTAATGGATTGTGATAATCTCACTTGTTCATGAAGTTAAATAACTTCTATATTCTTGGAAATTGTCTTCTGTTCTACTACTCATGTTTCTTTAATTTGACTGCTTCAGCTTTACTTCGGTGAGGGATGTTTGCACTTAGAATACAGAGTGAAGCAACTGTGCCAGGGTAGTAGAAATCCACTGACCATGACATGCCTCTAGTCTATAAATAATCAGCCTTTTTGCAATCTGTACACGTGAGTCTGGATTTTGTGCAAGTGGTTATCGTCTTGTACATTATTTGAGGCTCCAAAGACCTGTTATTAGATTGAAGATGACAAGGTTGAGGTTGCCTTTGTGCTTGTAATCTGCTGTTGAATTTATAATTGTGCTTTGGACTGTCTGTTTTCAATTTCCACAGTTGGTTCGTAAAGGCTGAAAATTTAAAAATGCAAATCTAACATTGAAAGTAGGTTCACCTGCAACTCAACATCAATTTTATGAAGATAAAGGAGCAGAGAGTACCTGTAAGCAAATGGCCTGTTTTAAATAGTACTTAACTGCAGTGTAGCGAATGATCTTCGTATGATTGGCTTCATACGAAACATACTGCTAAGAACACTCTTCAGCTATCTCAGAATCTCGGGGCACTTAGCATACAAACTGTTTTTATCTGAAAAGCCATATTTACTTCAAATTCATTATCATTCTGATGTTAGTAAAATAACTAGATTTCCTACAAAAGTTAACCCCCAGATTAAGAATTTGAACTGTGTAAATGTAGAGGTGGTTGTAACTGGACGAGCATGAAATTTAATACTTCAAGTGAGGTTTTTCAGAATTGGTGAATTCAGCGAAGGGCTTTTTTCCAAATGCTGGTTTGTCTTGAGTATTTTCAGTGATTGTGTTGGACACAAAACAATGGCTGATGTTCTGCAATAGAAGCAACTGATGCTATCAACACACTCTGTTATTAGGGTGCAGATGGGCAGCAATTTACTGAGTCTGAACATGCAAATTTAACAAAAGTGAAGTTGTCCAATTTGCCCTACTACTTGAATGAGCTTTGAGTCATTACCTTACTGAGCCTCTGCTTTGAAATGCATGTAAGAGTAGAAAGGTAGAATACCTACCCACTCTATGTGGCAAAAAAATTAATGCTGCCACGTTTAGATAGAACATAGAATAGTACAGGCCCTTCAGCCCATGATGTTGTGCTGAACTTTTATCCTGAACCTAAGGTCTATCTAACCTCCACCGCTACCTCATACTATCATCCATATGCCTATCTAATAGCTGCTTAAATGCCCCTAATGAGGCTGACTCCACTACCCTCTCCGGCAATGCATTCCACGCCCCAACCACTCTGAGTAAAGAACCTACCTCTGACGTCTCCCTGATTATCTACCTCCTTTCACTTTAAATCTGTCTCCTCGTAAAAGCTACCTCCACCCTAGGAAAAAGTCTCTGGCTGTCTACTCTCTATACCTCTGATCATTTTGTACACCTCTATCAAGTCACCTCTCATCCTTCATCGTTCTAAAGAGAAAAGCCCCAGCAGGCTCAACCTTTCCTCGTAAGACCTTCCCTCCATTCCAGGCAACATCCTGGTAAATCTCCTCTGCACTTTTTCCAATGCTTTCCATATCTTTCCTGTAATGAGGTGACCAGAACTGGACACCATACTCCAGATGTGGCCAAACCGATGCTGTCAACATTCACTACTGCAGAATTATTTTTCTGGTTTGATTTTAGAGTATGGAGTCTTATTCCAGCAGAATTTAATTGTTGAAGATATTTTAAAGCTTTTTTTCTTTTGCCTGATCTCTCCCAATGCAGTCTGTCTTTGCCCCTCAGTGGATGATTTTACAATGAATTGAATGTTCTAATTTATACTACTTGGTTAGACTGCGTGTCTGAGTGGATTGTTCAGTCTGTTCGAAGAGACTCATTGCTGTCCTGCTGTCAGGTCATAGATCTGTAGTAAAGGGCACCTTACTGGAAATGATCTCTAGAATCTGTAAACTGCCACTCCAACCCACAAAATATCTGTTAGCAATTATAAGAGTAATGAACACCAGCTGCTTTTCTTCACTGCTGACTGAAAAATCAAGGCCAGCATTTCTTTTGATCCGTTGAACCATACATTCTTGCTGGGCTGGCAAGAGCTTTGAACTCTTAAGTGATCTTATTACTGTTGCCAGAGGTTGCTCAGCCTATTGAATGATGGGAAGGCAGCTGAGTATCTAGGCATATTTAATCTGTTAATACATGTGCACTTTCACCTTGGTCATAATAACAGTTTTTACGGTATTAGTATTACTTTTGATTCTAATTCATTGCTTTGGATTGGTTTTGCTGCTGTCACTGCAACTGGAGGATTGGAATCACTAGTACTGTGTCCTGATATTACATGATGCGAAATAGTCCGTCCAGATTGAGTTCAATTTCCGGCTAAAATCTACAGTTGTACTGTAGATTTATTTCAATTCAGTTGAGAACGTACAGGAACCACCTCCACTGTGCTTGCTTTAACTGATGCATTTTAACATCCATAGAACAGTTAAAACCTAAACTGAAAGATATAATGCCACAGGGTGGATGCATGCACTTTTCTCCTTCCATCATGACTGGGTTACTACCTAGAAGATTTTAATTCATTCAGATGTTGGAATTTTTTTGTGAACATTCAAAGAATGCACAGAAATTAATATTGGCTCATCCAGTGGCATTCTAAACAGTCTGACTTCCCCATAAAATGAGTTTACTCATCCACCTGCCTCTTGTTTCTATGGTATTTGGAATCAATGAATTTGGGCAATTACCCACAGATTTCTTCCACAGATATTAGTGGTATGTGCCACTTAATCCAATGAGTTTAAAGCTGGAGCCCAATCGTATAATTTATTGTGTGCAGTGGCACTTAGCCCACAAGGCACACCTAGATTTCTCTTGCTTGAAAGTGCAAATTAATTAAAACAAAGACATTCCTCAAAGTTCGATGGCGTGCACCGAGAATCAACCCTCCGCTGAGAAATGAGGTATCTTCTGAGGAATATCAGTGGATTGTTTGGTTATTCGGGGCGTTGCAAGAAGATATGATCTAGAGGAATACATATATGTACATATATGCAGAGATACAGTTATTGTAAGTACAATAAATCTTTATCTGCAAAATCATGAGTTGCTAATTCACCTATCTGCATCGAAACATAAGCACAGTCAGTTCCGCTATAAAACGCGATTGTTGTGTTCCTGTGCAACATTGCGCTATAGAAATAAGAGTCTGTGGAAGAAGTGGGGTTGGGGCAGACCACCAAAAAAATCACTCAATTGCTCAGAAATCACTCAAACCTAATACAAAGGGTAGCACAATTTGAATAAATGTTTAATTCATATCTAATAATGAAATAAAAGTAAACTCAACACTTTTTAGCTTAAAAATGTTAAGATGACGTGATGGGGGAGGTGGTTGTACTGTACCCCTCTCAGAAAGCTCTTCACAAAGCGTGAAATATCACGTGATGCCGGCACGGAGTCTCAGCACTAACGTTGTATGCATTCACAACAAAGTCTGAGACAATCATGTGACATTGACACGTACTCTGCGCACCGATGGAATCGCGTTATAACCAAGTTCTGTTTCAGAAATAGCATTCCGCTATTCGTCAGTCATGTTAGTGAATTTGTGTTGATGAAACGTGTTATAGCAGAGCTGACTGTATCTTTAAAAATTAACACTTTTGCAGGCAAAAGTTGCGTACCTGTGATGTTTAACCTATTTTTAAATGAGCTCCACACTTGTGAATTTCATCATTCATAGGGGTTGTCGGGAACTAATGTGTAAATACAGAGGAATGACTGTGTATTTCAGGTATTTACAGCAGATAATTAGCTGCTCAGAAACCATTCTCATTTAAGATGCAATTTATTTTCCGGTGTAAAATTGATTTAAAGGTGATGTTTAAATTATGGTATGTCTAGCACAAACTATTTGATGTTCAGTAGATATTAATACTTTTGAAAATGCCATTTTCATTTTAAAAATGCAACTGAAACTCAGACAGTTAAAGCAGAGGGCTGTGGACGTTCAGCCTTTGAGTATGTTTAAGATGGAGATTGAAAGATTTCTAATTATCACTAGTGTATAGGGTTATCGCGATTGGGTAAAAGGCATTGAAGTATTTGTTTGGCCATGATCTTATTGAATAATGGGGCAGGGTTGATAGGCTGACTGGCCTACTCCTGTTCCTAATTGCAAAGATAAAGCTACATTGCGCTGAAGCAGACTGGAAAAAATAGTTTAAAAGGCAAGGCAGTAGAAAAGCAGTGACGCACTTGTGTAACTCTTAAATATTCCATTGAGAAGGAAAGACTTTTTATTTTTGCAAAAGATGCACCATCCTACAGTTAAGTTGAAGGTTGCCGTTATAGTGAAATAAGTGATACTGTGCTGCAAAAGTTAGTCATAGGTCACAGGATGGGAAAATATTAGAAACTAGTGAAAATGAAGAGTGAAATTAGACCAAGTAAATGAGCAAGAAGTATAAAAGCAAACAGTAAGAGCTTCTGCAAGTACATAAAGAGCAGCTAAAGTAAACATTCGTCCTTAAATTCTGATTCAGAATGCATAACAAATGAGGAAATGACAAAAGCATTGAACAAGCATTTTGTATCTGTCAACATAATAGACAAAAAGTATTCCACGAATAGTATAAAATTAGGTAGAAAAGGGAGAGAGGAACTTTAAAAAAACTGACAAAAACCATCAATCTTCTTGGACCTGATGGCCTGCATTCTCAGCTTTTAAAGAAGTAACTACAAGATGCTACAGATATTTTCAGTCAATCTGTTCGGACGTTTTATGATGGTTATGACACTTGCCTGGGGCAGCTAGGACTTTGACCTGGACCTCCTGGCCCAGAAGTCGGGGCACTGTCACAATACCACAGGACCCTCGCTTACCAAAGGCTGTAATCTTCCAAAATTCTTTAGATTCTGGAAAGATCCCAGCAGATTGGAAAACCATAAATTTAACACCCCTATTCAAGAAAAGAGGGGACTCTATTTGTCATTGGAAAAATGCTGACATTTGTTACTAACGTAGCAAGAGGACATGTTAAAAACTATAGTACAATTGGGCTGAGCCAACATGGCTTTATGAAAAGGAAATTTGTTTTTATTAAATGAAGGTGCTTTTGACGCACCAGTCATTCTCCTCACATTTTCTGAGTAGACGTTAGCTCTGTTCATTTGTTTGCTATTGTTCTTTTTTGCCCCATTACTCACTCTAACCCTCCCCATCTTTGTCTGAGTGATCTTCTAGTGTTAAACCGACTTGAAGGCGCAGTTAAGTGCAGTATATCTTGCACAAAGCTTCATATTGGGGTACCTGCTGATGAGTAATTAATCTGTCACTCAACTGCTATATTCTTTGTCGTGATTTTTTATTTAAAGATTTAACCATTGTGATCTTCTTTTATACATTTTCTGTTTAAAAGAGAAAATAGATATTTTTATGTCTGTTCTAATCCTGTGAATTTGTGCAGATATTAGTGGTGTCAGTCCTTCTTGGGTGTTAGCATTTCAGTGAATTTGTGTTCTATACAGTGAAAAATTCTGTTTTTACAGCTCAGCCCATGACAATGTGAATAAAGTTCGTGTGGCCATCAAAAAGATCAGCCCTTTTGAACACCAGACATACTGCCAGCGAACTCTGCGTGAGATTAAAATCCTGCTGCGCTTCAAACATGAGAATATCATTGGCATCAATGACATCATCCGAGCCCCCACCATTGACCAGATGAAAGATGTGTATCCTGATTAAACAACGTTTATAAAAATATAAATGTCTTTTTGATGTTAGCATACTGCCCTTTCGCCCCTTGAGCATGATTTTGAATCCAACCTGGGTTAATTCAATGTAAAAACCGAAAGAACTGCGGATGCTGTAAATGAGGAACAAAAACAAAGTTGCTGGAAAAGCCCAGCAGGTCTGGCAGCATCTGTGAAGGAGAAAAGAGTTAATGTTTCAGGTCTGGTGACCCTTTCTCAGAACACAGTTCTGGACCCGAAACATTAACTCTGTTTTCTCCTTCACAGATGATGCCAGACCTGCTGAGTTTTTCCAGCAACTTTGTTTTAATTCAATGTAAGCTTCTTCAATATGCTGATTGTAAGGGCCTTGCATGAAAGGAAATGAGCTGTATCAAGTCCATTCCTGGTGTTTGGCCCAAAAGCAGATGCATAAATGTATACAATGGGACAGTCATTTTCAACCTTTCTGAAAGTCTGCAAAGGTGTGGGATTTGTGAGAATTGTGCAAAGCGTGTACTGTACTACTGTTCTGATGTTGCTATCAGGGCATCTTGTTAGGCCGGATGCATGAAACTTTGCTGAGCATGTGCTCGTGTCAAATCTAATCCCAGACCACAATTGTTGAGACATAATGTTAGACTTCCCTTCCTTTGAATGTATGAATACATGAGTTTGTGAAATGTTTTTTGCAGTAGTTTCCTAAAACAGCACATTCTGAATTCCGAATTCAGAAAATTTGTGCCCAAACTCAAACCAGAACCAGCCCATCTTCCAAACATCCTGAAATTTTACAGCCTACACTTTCAGCTTATTTTCCACGATAGCCTTTGTTACGGCACTTTGACATGTCTTCTGGAAATCAAATCAAAATACAATACATCTACTTTTCCTTCCTTTACCCACATGCTACTTCAAAGAATTCCAATAAACTGGTTATACATAATTTTCCTTGCCTAAAAAAAGCCATGTTGATTCTGCACAATTAGCTTCTGACATTTCATTGAGAAAGGGCTACATGAGATCTGGTATTGCACAGCGAGAATTAATTGCAAACCTCGTAGTGAAGGTACCCCTATGTAGCAGGGATCATATGGTTAAAATTTAGGTTCAATTTGAGGGGAGGTTTCAAATTTTATACTTAAATAAGGACAATTATGAAGGCATGAAAGCAGAGCTGACCCGAGTGAACTGGCTAATTAAATTAAGGGATAAGTCAACAGAGATGCAGTTGTCGACATCTAAGGAGATATTTCAGAATATACAGAATAGCTTCTTTCTGACAAAAAATCCAAGCCAAGGACCCATCGTCTGTGATTGACAAAGTTAAAAGATACTATCAAACTTTAAGATCATAATTATGTAAAGACAAGTGGCAGCTCAGAAGATTAGACTGAATACTTAAAGGCAAAGAATGATGAAAAACTAAAAAGTTGAGTACTAAGAAAGCTAACTAGAAATATAAAAGCAGCAAGAGATTCTGTAGACGTTAAAAAGTGAATGTTGATCCAATAAATAGAAAATGAGTTTGGGAAATTAATAATGGAAAAAATAAAATAGATTAATTGAACGGGTATTTTGCGTAGGTTTTTGCTATAGGTGTCAAGTTATATCCCAGAAAAGGCTGTAAATCATAAAATGAAGTGGAGAAAGGAACTAAAAAACAAAATCTAAATTATAACGGAAGCAATATTGAGCAAATCTTTGGAACTGTGGATTGACAAGCCTCTGGGTCTTGATGCACTTGATCTACAATCTTAAATGAAGTGTCTAGTTAAGCAGTTGTGTTCATGATAATTTTCCAAACTTGCTTAAGTTGGGAAGATTCCATTAAATTGAGAACTAGTCAATCCAAAAGTTATTTTAATCAAGAAGGTAGGGAGACAACATAAACTACAAGCCAGTTGACTTAATTTTCATAGGGAAAAGTCAGAAGCTAATTGTGCAGAATCAACATTTTTGTGCAAGCAAAATTATGTATAACCAGTTTATTGGAATTCTTTGAAGCAATGTGTGGGCAAAGGGAGGAAAAGTAGATGTATTGCACTTTGATTTGATTTCATTTCCAGAAGACTTTTCATAGAGTGCTGTACCAAAGTTTATTGTGGAAAATATACACAAAGTATAGGCTGTAAAATTTTGTGAAGATTGGAAGATGGGCTGGTTTGGTTTGAGTTTAAGCACGAGCACAAATGGGTCACTTTCTGGTTGGCAAGATGTAACAAGATTCTACAGAGATTGGTGCAGGGGCCTCAACTTTTTGTAATGTTTGTAAATTTAGTTGAACAAACCAAAAGTATCATTGCTAAATTTGCTGATGACAAAGAAGCAGGAAAATTACTTATGAAGGGACTGCAAAAGGTTAAGTGAGTGGGCAAAGATCTGGCAAATGGAGTGTAATGAGGGAAAATGTGCAATTGCCCATTTTGGAAGGAATAATAAAACCTACTTTGTAAATAGTAGAGCTCTGAGATGTGGAAGGATCTTTTGTTTCAGAGCGTACTGGTTGAGAAAGGTTAGCAAGTCCAGGTAGTAATTAGGAAAGCTAATGGAATGTTTTATTATGGGAGGAATTCAATACAGAAATGGGGAGGTAATGTTTCAGTTAGGCCATTGGTGACACCACATCTGGCATACTTTGTACAGTACAAGTTCCTGACATAAAGAAGGATGTAAATGCATTAGAAGCAATTCTGAGAAGGATTACTAGATTAATACCAGAAATGGCCAGGTTGTCTTATGAGGAAAAGTTGGGTCAGGTTAAATTGTATCTGCTGGAGTTAAAATTAAGTGGTGATTTGACTGAAAGGTATAAGATCCTGAGGGATCTTGATAGGGTTGGTGTGGAAAGCATGTTTCGTGGAGAGAGTTTAGAATGAGATGTGACCTGCTGAAAAATAATTGGTCACACAGTTGAGAGACAGAGGAGTAGAATTTCTTTGTCTTTACAACACTTCGTGATAACATTGTGGAGCAATAAGAGTCTTTGAATATTTTTAAATTTGAGGTAGGTGGATTCTTATTTTAAAGAAAAGGGATAAAAGGTGAATCAGGAGTGTGCAGTTATCAGCTTAACCGCAATCTTATTGAATGGTGGAGAAAGCTCGAGGGGTTGTGTGACATACTGTGTCCCTTAATTTGCATACTTGATAAACACTCAAAAGATTAAATAAAATTGCAATCCTGCAAGTTCTCTGACTTTAATCACTGTAATATCTGGATATAGGTGCAGGGTAATGAGTATATTTGTGACCCACTTAAGGGAAAGGCAACCTGAGGGACAGGATTTACATACATTTGGAATGGCAAGGACTGATTTGGGATAGTCAACATAGCTTTGGCTTTGTGTGTGGGAAATCGTGTCTTACAAACCTGAGTTTTTTGAAAAAGTAGCGAAGAGGATTGAGGGCAGAGCAGTGGACTTCAGTAAAACATTCGACAAGATTCTTTGTGGTAAACTGGTTGGCAAGATTAGATCACATGGAATACAAGGAGAACTAGCCATGTGGATACAGAACTGGCTCGAAGGTAGAAGACAGAGGCTGATCGTGGAGACTTGTAACCAGCGGTGTGCCACGTTGATTGGTGCCTGGGTCCACTGCTTTTTGTCATTTTGTATAAATTATTTGGATGTGGATATAGGAGGTATGGATAGTAAGTTTGCAGATGACACCAAAATTTGAGGCAACTTTTGCTGTCCACTACCTAGTACGCAGGGACCTTGATCAGGTGGGCCAATAGGCTGAGGAGTGGCAGATGGAGTTTAATTTAGATAAATGTGAGGTGTTGCATTTTTGGAAAGGCAAATCAGGGCAGGACTAATACAATTAATGGTAAGGTCCTGGGGAGTGTTGCTGAACAGAGAGGCCTTTGAGTGCAGGTTCACAGTTCCTTGAAAGTGGTGTCCCAGGTAGGCAAGATAGTGAAGGTGTTTGGAATGGTTCCATTTTATTGGTCAGTGCATTAAATCTAGATGTTGGAAGGTCATGTTGCAGCTGTACAGGATATTGGTTGGGCCACTTTTGGAATACTGTTCAATTCTGGGCCTCCCTGCTGTAGGAAGGGTGTTAAACTTGAGAGGGTGCAGAAAAGATTCACAAGGATATTGCCTGGGTTGAAGTTATAGGGAGAGGCTGAATAGACAGGGGCTATTTTCCCTGGAGCATCAGAGGCTGAGTAATGACCTTTTATAGAGGTTTATAAAGTCATGAGGGGCATGGATAGGGTAAATAGACAAGGTCTTTTCCCTGGGGTGCGGGAGTCCAAAACTAGAGGGTATTGGTTTAAGGTGAGAGAGGAGAGATTTAAAAGGGACCTAAGAGGTAACTACTTCATGCAGAGGGTGATGCGTGTATGGAATGAGCTGCCAGAGGAAGTGGTGGAGGGAGGTACAATTACAACATTTAAAAGGCATCTGGATGGGTATATGAATAGGATTGGTTTAGAGGGATATGGGCCAAATGCTGGCAAATGGGACTAGATTTATATAGGATATCTGGTCGGCATGGGCAAGTTGGACTGAAGGGTCTGTTTCCATGCTGTACAGTTCTGTGACATCCTGAGGAGTTTCATTCTGTGGTTTCAATACCATAGATCTGGAATGTGATTTTTAAAAACCAGGTCAGTTGAAATAAATGGGAAGAGTTTTTCCATTTGACGTAAGTTTTACAGAGTCACATTACAAAGTTCAATTGTGTGTCACGGCAAATGGTTTACAGTTAAATCATGAATTTTGCAGTTGAAACCATTTTATTTTTTTCAACAGATTGCATAGGCTATGTTGGAATATTTGTGGTTTCCTTGACTTTTGTTCTCAGATACATTGTACAGGACCTGATGGAAACAGACCTGTATAAATTGCTGAAGACTCAGCATCTTAGCAATGATCATATCTGTTACTTCCTGTATCAGATCCTGCGAGGGTTAAAGTACATCCACTCTGCCAATGTCCTTCATCGGGATCTCAAACCATCCAACCTACTGCTCAATACCACCTGTGACCTGAAGGTTAGTGACTTGCATTTCCTTTTTTTTTGCACTGAGGTTGACAAATAAGGTAGAATGAAGATTGGGCTAACAGTGGCTGTTCTGAAGGTGCTGCAGTCACCAGCATTTATCTTCTCAGACTTTGCAGGCACTCTACTTTGCCTGTGGTTGGAGAAATGATGTAGAAAAAGCTTCAGATATTTGCAGCAAAAAGATTCTTTTCAATTCATTCACAGGATGCGGAAGTCACTGTCAAGGCTGTGTATATTGCTCTTTGGAAGGCGATGATGCTGGCAGTCTTTGTAATAAAGATACACACTCAATGCTGTTATGGACGATTCCAGGATTTGACCTAGTGACACTGAAGGAGCAGTGATATATGTCCAAGTCAACTAGTGTGTCACTTTGGGATGGGAGTTTCTGCTGAATTGCAATAAAAATGGATTTTACATTCGTGCTGAGGCCAGGGAGATTAACAAGTGCAATTCAGTTGGGGTGGGGTGGTTAAACTAATTTTACAGAATGAGGGCTGACAGCATTTGCACTATTAGAGTGATACAAGTTGGAGAGGACTAGGAGACAGTATAGAATATAGTAATCCACAAATGGAGAAATGAGGCAGGTGATGCATTTGGCTGCATGTTTTGAAAATAAGGTTAAGAACTGTGTGGGCATGAGTAGCCTCATGGAATTTAAATATAGTAGCAGCAATGGAATCCTGGCTGTCAAGGGGATAGAATGTTCCCGTTAACAATGTACTTGGTAAAGATGGGGAAGGAAGAAAAAGAGCAGGTTGTATTGATTGACGATATTGTTATGCACTAGAAAGAGCTGATGCAGGTTCAAAGGCCACAACGTATTTAGCTAAAATCAAGGAACAACAGAACCTGTGATGCTATTGGGTGTGTGTGGTAGGCCACCAAGTTGAGAGGAAGGCGATGGAAGTTTGCAGGTATTTTCACATTTCTGGAAAGAACTAGTGGTAATGGTGAAGACTTCAGTTATCCTAATGTAGACTGCATTAGTAACAGTCTAAAAGGAAGATGGAAGTGTAATAATTTGAGATATGTATCCAAACCAGTGAAGAAGAAACAAGCAGAAGGAAATCTAGTTCTGGGGAATGAAGTGCATGTTACAATAGGGGAACATTTGGAAAACGGTGACCATACCATTAAGTTTAGAGTTATGGAAAAGGAAGAGGGGAAGAAAAATGAGAAAACGCTCAACTGGAGGAAGATTAATTTTATTGAGTTCAAAAGGGATCTGGCCCATATAAATTCAAATCAAAGATAACCAGGTAAAGAGTAATGAATTACTTCATAGAAACAACAGCTGAAATACAGACTAGAAATATTCCTATAATTGGAAAGGGAGGGCAGCAAAAGATGGGGCATATCAAATCTCTAAAAATATAGAGATTAAAATTGAAAATGGGACTAATGACAAACATCAGGTTCATACACTTTGTAGGCAACCTCTATTGATCTAATAGGTGGAAATATGGTGCAAGTGGGAAATCAGTGCAGAGGGGAAAGGAAATTCTTTTTGTTTCTAATACTTGGAATGGTTTGTTTCAAGTATTTAATCTTTAATTAGATCAAGTAATTAAAGCAAAACTTAAATCTGTAGGCTCATTTGATTAAATACACAGACTAAATGAAGGACTAAGGAGTTGTATCCCTGCAAGTGTAACTTAAGGGTGTGCGATTTTGTGGAGAGTATTGAGATTCTGAAGAGCATGCCTTGAGGGAACTTGAGCTTAGAGTTGAGTTTTTTTGTTCAAGGTGCAGACATTGTTAGGCATCAGTGGCTTATTTGGATGCTTGATTCAACAAGCAATCCAGCCCTTTAGGTTAGCAAGTAGTACAGATTTGTATCAGTGAGTAATTTCAGAGTGGTAAGGGTCTTCAGGTGCAATGCAAGAGGAGCCACAGCCTTTGTCGTTATCCAGTAGATACAAATTTCTTGCCTTTGTGGGTCAAGGCCATATCTACACCTAGATGAGCAAACTGACCCTAGTAGAAATGGCAGTTTAAGGAGTTTGTTGGTGCTGCGTGTGGGGTGGAAAGAAATGTCAGTGGCACGGGATAGTCCAGTTAGGGATGCAGGTATAAAGATATTTCTTTTTCAACTATTCGGATGTTATAACATACAGATGGGACTTGAACCTGCTTGAGGCCTTTTGACTCAGTTAGGGACACTACCTCAGTAGTACAAGATCCCAAGGGACCAACAGCACGCATAGAGCTAGTGATGAGTTTCTGCTGAGGGAATTTGAGGTACTTGATCTGATTAAATAAACAACCTAAAAGGTGGTGGTTTCTGGAATTCTATCAGACCCCTACCCAAACTGGAGTAGGATCATGTAAATCAACCTTAAACGTGTGGCTTGGAGTTTTGTAGGAGATGGGAAGTTTTGTTGCATAGAACACAAACCTCAGTGTTGGGAAAAGGTGGAATTGTTCCTTTTGTAACAGGCTACACCTAAACCAGGCTTGGGACCAGTGTCCTGATGAATTGTAGAACATAGAACAATGCATCACAGGAACCTGCCCTTCAGTAAACCATGTCCACACTGACCGTAATGCCTTTCTAAACTAATCCCATCTGGCCATGCATGGTCCATATCTCTCCATTCTCTGCCTGTTAATCTGTCTGTCTAAATGCCCCTTAAACATTGCTATTGTATCTGCTTCTACCATCTCCTCTGGCAGTGTGTTCCAGGCACCTTTTGCCACCTTGAATTTTAAAAATTAGTCTCACACATCTCCTTTAAACTTTTTCACTCTCACCATAAATCTATTCCCCCTCGTATTTAATATTTCTACCCTGGGGAAAAGGGCTGACTATCCACCCTATCTGTGCCTCCCATAGTTTTACACATTTTTATCAGATCAGTGGATTTACCCTTTCCCTAGCTACCCTCTTGATCCTAATACACGTACAATGCCTTGGGATTCTCCTTAATCCTACTTACCGAGGATATTTTATGGCCCCTTTTAGCCCTCTTGGTTCTTTAAGTTGTTCCTGCTTCCTTTTTATATTCCTGAAGGGCCTTGTCTGATGCCAGTTTCCTAAACCTTACATATAATTTCTTTTTTTCTTTTTGACTAAACTTTCAATTTCTTTCATCATCCAGTGTTCTTGAATCTTGCCATCCTTATCTGTCATCCTCGCAGAAACATGCTAGTCCTGACCTCTGATAAACTGGTCTGTAAAAGACTCCATATGTCAGATGTGGGTTTATCATCAAATAGCCACCTTCGATCTAATTTCTGCAGTTCCTGCCTAATACATTTGTAATTAGCCTTCCCTCAATTTAGCACTTTCCCCAAGGACCAGTCTTTTCCTTATCCATAACTATCCTACAGTAGTCATCACAGTTCTGAGTTTTATGCCATTATGATCAATGTCCTTGACAAGTAGGTTTAAGGAGAATACCAAGACATTTTATACATATATATTATGAGCAAGCGGGTAGCTATGGAAAGGGTATATCCACTCCAGGAAAAGGGGGACTTATGCGTGGAGCCAGAGGAAGTGGTTGAGGTCCTTTAATGAATATTCTGCGTCAGTATTCACCAAGGAACTAATGTTGTAAGTAGAAATTTGAACTAAAAGTGGAGGGCAGGTGGGTAGTGGATGGGCGATGAGAAGAGGTTTCAAAAGGGAAAATTTATAACTCAGGAGTGGGGAGAAAGCTATTAAGTAAAACGAAAATGAATTCCATTGAAAAAAAAATAAAAAAGCCCATTCTTTCTCTCCTCCTCCTCACCCCACCACCATCACACATTGTGTTTCACAGGACAATTATGAAACATTCGTATGTTGCATTTGTTTAAAGGTGCTAACATTCTCTAGTTGCTTCAAAAGGTGTTGACCATGAACAGTTCTTACATAAGAGGTCATGGGTAATAACATAATTGAGGATTGGTTAACAGTTAGGAGGAACAGGCTGCTATTAATGGTGTTCTGCAAGAATTTGAGTGCCTAGGCCTCATTTTTTGATACACTATATTAGCAACCTGTACAAAGGGATAACAAGGTGTAGAGCTGGATGAACACAGCAGGCCAAGCCACATCAGAGGA